GTGTGTGTGTGTGTATGAGAGAGAATGAGAGAGAGAGAGATACAAACAATAGAATTAGCCAAATAAATATAGAAACACAATTTTCTGGATTTCAAGAATACCACTAGCCAAATGATCTGGATTTTCCTGAGATTTGCTGAAAAATGAATTTTGGAAGAAAGAGCAGATAGCATTTTATTAGGGTTTTTGTTTGGTTGGTGTTTTGTTTTGTTGTGTTTTTCCCAGTTTTTTCCAGGATAGAGTCTTGGGAACTTGCTTTCACTTGTGTTGCAAGTAGGCTTCTCGCAGTGTTTTCAGATAGTTGCAAATGGTTGAATATGTTATAAAAATAGTTTTAGTTATTGTACATTTACTATTTCCACTCCCCTTTTTCTCTGTTCCTCAAATAGATCATCTCAGATTCCAAAATCAAATCTGCAGAGTAAATGTTTTAGCCCTATATTCTAGGCAAACTAACTGAAGCTCAATTAATTGTGTTCACCTCTCCAGCTCATATGGTTAGAGACCTAAATGTTAGCTTTGTGTTTTATGATTTCAAAAACCTATATTTTCTCCTTCAGTTACTTTATTTTTTTATTTATTTTATTTATTTTTTTACAAATAGTTTATTGTCAAATTAGTTTCCATATAACACTCAGTGCTCATCCCCACAAGTGTCCTCCTCCATGCCCATTCCCCCTCCCCCCCACATCCATCAGTCCTCAGTTTTTGTCAGCATTCAAGAGTCTCTCATGGTTTGCCTCTCCCCCTTGTTCCTCCGTCAAGTTCCTCCTAATCCTCCTATATGTGCAAACATATGATATTTGTCCTTCTCTGCCTGACTTATTTCGCTCAGCATAACACCCTCAAGGTCCATCCATGTTGCTACACATGGCCAGATTTCATTGTTTCTCATTGCCATGTAGTATTCCATGGTATAGATAAACCACATCTTCTTGATCCATTCATCTGTTGATGGACACTTAGGCTCTTTCCATGTTTTAGCTATTGTGGAGAGTGCTGCTATGAACATTGGGGTACATGTGCTCCTATGCCTCAGCATTTCTGTATCCCTTGGGTAAATTCCTAGCAGTGCTATTGCTGGGTCATAAGGGAGTTCTATTGTTAGTTTCCTGAGGAACCTCCACACTGTTTTCCAGAGGGGCTGTACCAGTTTACATTCCCACCAACAGTGTAGGAGGGTGCCCGTTTCTCCACATCCTCGCCAGCATCTAGAGTTCTCTGATTTGCTCATTTTAGCCACTCTGACTGGCGTGAGGTGGTATCTCAGTGTGGTTTTGATTTGTATTTCCCTGATGAGGAGGGATGCTGAGCATCGTTTCATGTGTCTGTTGGCCATCTGGATGTCCTCTTTGGAGAAGTGTCTGTTCATGTCTTCTGCCCATTTCTTCACTGGGTTGTTTGTTTTTCGGGCGTGTAGTTTGGTGAGTTCCTTATAGATTCTGGATATTAACCCTTTATCTGATATGTCATTTGCAACTATCTTTTCCCATTCCGTTGGTTGCCTATTAATTTTCTGGGTTGTTTCCTTGGCTGTGCAGAAGCTTTTAATCTTGATGAGGTCCCAACAGTTTATTTTTGCTCTTGATTCCCTTGCTTTTGGGGATGTGTCAAGTAAGAAGTTGCTGCGGTGGAGGTCAAGGAGATTGTTTCCTGCTTTCTCCTCTAGAGTGTTGATAGTTTCCTGTCTCACGTTCAGGTCCTTTATCCATTTTGAGTTTATTTTTGTGCATGGTGTGAGAAAATGATCAAGTTTCATTCAGTTACTTTAAACAGAAGGGACTGTCAAACCTAAGTTAGAATTTTAATGCAATTTACTTATCAGAGGCCATTGGTAAATGTAAAGAAAAGTATGGCACAAATCATTTGCAGCATGAATGATGGTAACACCATTTTGAATGGCTTTAATTTTTTTTTTTTTTTTTTTTAGCAAAAATGCTGTGTACAAGAGTGACGTATACCAATACCTCTGTCTCAGGAATGCCTTGTATGTGGATGGAAACCTCCAAGAAGGATATATTATTCAAATTTTCTTTTTTTAATAAAAATGCTAATGGAAATGTTAAAATGCACATAAATTAAAATGATCATAAATTAGGATTAATATCACTTTAATGAATTATAATCCCACACTCATTAAGATAAAGTGGCATTTCAATATTTGCTCTTGTTAATAAATATAATACAATAAATGAAAGGGATACATTTTGAGATTCAATAAATATTTGATGTAATCTTATGCTTTAACTTTTTAAAGTATTCAAAAGTAAAGTAGGATCTAGATGCATTTGGATTCTTTGTTGCTACTTTATGTCTTTTTTTATATTCTTTTCTTTTCATTTATTGAAGTGCTAAATACAATTTAAATTGGCAAAGAAAGCAATAGAGCCTGTTCTGAATAAAAGTGATCCCCAGAGAACACAATGTCTTTGAGTTTCTAGGAGTTTCTTTCCACACAGCAGCATTTTTTTTAAAGGAACAAGTATTCAAAATTTAAAATCTTACCGTGCAATAATATATACTTACATAAACACACATACATACACACACGTATATATACCCATGCATACATACTGATATGGGTGTGTATGTATATATATACACACACACATACATGCTGAAAATATGTACATTTAAGCACTATTTTACAGCAATAATTCAGTGAATTTTTCTTTAAAATGCATATGTATATATATACATATATGTGTGTATATATATATATATATACATACATATATATATTTGTTTTATTTTAGTTTTTTTTAACAGGAGTCAACATAGTATAAAGAAGATGCACCATGTGTCAGAACACTCCTGTCTCCCTCCTTAGAGTGAACTGAAAAATTTAAAATTCATTTTTCCCTAGTACTTACCAAAATGTTTCAGGTAGGGTAGGTGTTCAGTAAATTTTTGTCCTTGTAACCGAACTAATATGAGTTCAATCCTTGGTGAGTCACAGATTACACCAGATGGTGTCGTCACACAAAGTAAACTTTATTTGTGACAAATAAGGAGACCATGGGAAGTGACTTCAAAAGCTGTAACTCTTGAGCAAGGGTGAATTTTTTTATTTCTTTCTCTCTCTCTCTTTCTCTCTCTTTTCTTTTAGTGTTAGGATGAATATTTAGGAAGGGGAGCCTTGTCATTGGATATAGAGGCAGGCATAAGGTCCCGCATGCGCCTTAAGGAAACATGCATATACATGTTACATTTGTATGTTACATAAATGAGGTTTGTGCTCCTCCCAGGGTGGAGATTTTAGTATTATGTAAAGGTAACTGTCAGTCACTCCATGGTGCATCTGTGCAGGTGTAAGTCAGAGGTTTAGATCAAAGTGATCTGGGTGGTCTGGGCCTATGTAACTCTTCCTCGGGGCAGTTAGTTATTGCTTGAAGGATAGTTTTGTTTTCCATCAGGGGATATTATGCCTATAGGGTCTTTTACTTGAATAAAGAGATAAGCTGGAAAGTAGAGCTTAAGGAAAGATGTAGGACAAAAGTTAGTGGGTATAAGCAGTTAAAGTAGTAAACGTTAGGCCATGGGGTCCAGCCAGTGATGACACCCTGACCTGAGATGAATCTGTATGTCTGCTGCAAAGTTTTGATTTTCCAAAGGGGACCCTTTTCTGGCCCCACTGTTCTTCTTTATAAAATGGGAATAATGTTCCAGGACCAGAAGAATCGTAGAAATCAAAGAAAAGAAGGTCATAGAGAACATAAGCTCTTGCTATACATCAAGTTGGATTATTTTTGTTTTTCTAACAGGTAGACCTGAGTTGAATTCTGGGTCTCCTGCACTTGATCCCATCAAATAGAAACACTGGAGAGATTATTATGGGCCTTGTCAAACCTCAGTTCTCTCATATTCATGTGAAATATTGTAACTTGTCAGCTTCTGGAAAAGTTAAGAGAATTGCTATATAAGCAAGTCCCATATTTGTTGACTCACAAAGAATGTTCCATTAGAGGTAGCTAAGGAAGAACAACTTTAAATAAATGTATTAATAAATGGAAAAGGATACATGTGTTTTTGTGTTTTCCTCTTGATCTTCTATCATTCTAAATGTATGTCAGTTTACATTGAACAAGTCAGAGTACTTTTTAAAACTGTTCAAACTAGGGGTGCCTGGGTGGCTCAGTTGAGCATCCAACTTTGGCTCAGGTCATGATCTTGCTGATACTGAGTGCTGGCCCCACATCAGTCTCTGTGCTGACAGCTCAGAGCCTGGAGCCTGTTTCAGTTTCTGTGTCTTCCTCTCTCTCTTCCTTTCTCTCTACCCCTCCCCCACTCACTCTTCTGTCTCTCACTCACTCAAAAATAAAACTGAACTTATTTGTATACATTTTATTATATTTCATTTTGTTTTATACTTTTTAAAAATTTTTGTTAGGCGTTTTATTTATTTTTGAGAGAGAGAGAACACAAGTGGGGAAGGGGCAGAGAGAGAGGGAAACACAGAATCCGAAGTAGGCTCCAGGGTCCAAACTGTCAGCACAGAGCCCGATTTAGGGCTCCAACTCATGAGCTGCAAGATCATGACCTCAGCCAAAGTTGGATGCTTAACCAACGGAGCCACACAGGCATCCCTATATTTCATTTTGATTGATACACATGCAGTGCCTAAACTCCGTGTACAAGGACTGTTAGCAGAAATTGATGATGTTAGGATGAATGTAGAAAGAACCAACTTGATATTCAAACAGTAGGTGGTTAAAAACATATTTCTGCAAATTGCCCCATCGCTAACCAATGTCACTTTGTATTTTAGCTGCACACAGACCTGGATCCTGGGAGCAAAAAAATCAAGTATATCCTGTCAGGTGATGGAGCTGGGACAATATTTCAAATAAATGATATAACAGGAGATATCCATGCGATAAAAAGACTTGACCGGGAAGAAAAAGCTGAGTATACTCTAACAGCTCAAGCAGTGGACTGGGAGACGAACAAGCCTCTGGAGCCTCCTTCTGAATTTATTATTAAAGTTCAAGACATCAATGACAATGCGCCAGAGTTTCTTAACGGACCTTATCATGCTACCGTGCCAGAGATGTCCATTTTGGGTAAGTATGCTTCCAATTTCACAGAACTATTAAGAGTCCTCTTTAAAATAGATTCTGGCATCAAGGCTGGTGTGTTGCTGAATAAAAGACATTTATTACCATCTTATCTCTAATTTGCATTTCCAAATCCCCTTTTTTGGCCTAAGTTCCACAGCTCAATAGCTTTAGTCCCTTAGTAATAGGAACTGACGAAGCAGTTTTATTAAAATATCTCTCCTTACGACGACAGTCCTTCAATAGGCTGAATTTGTATTCCTCTCATAAACTTGTAGTTTGAGTATTGTTACTGAGATGGATTTATCAAGATTTGTTCCAACATGCCAGACTAATCCTATTGATATTTGCTTGATGTTTAATTTTTTGTTTGTGTATATTCACATGCAGATGCAGCGCATAGAGAAAGAGAAAATGGTCTAAATCTGTAGTCAGCCAGATATTGGATTGAGCTGGTGGGTCAAGTCAAGAGTGAATTAGGAATTCACAGTTGCCAGAGACTTCTTTGTAACCGAACTTTCTGTGGGAGCACAGCAATTACCGGTGTCCCACTCACACTTGTTTGGAGGGGATTCAAGTATCTATTATATTTTACAGAGCAGTTTCTCTTTCAAAACGTGATTTTCTCCCTTTTCTTTTTCTTTTTTTTTGGATATGCTTATCTATCCTCCCCCCTGGCCTTGGTCTAGGAAACGCCTGTTCCCAGACTTTATATTATTAGAGGAAGGGTTTTAGACCTCTTCCTTATCTGACAAGAAAAGGCAGCATCCAAAATTCAGAATCTAAGATCACAAAAGTCATTCTTACATATGTAATAAGTACCCTGGCTTGTTTGAAATTGCATTCAAGACAACCTACAAGGGTACATACTGTGCAGCAAAATCACGTAAACTAAAGCAGGTGAAATGATGAGACAACTAGAAAACACAAGTAAATGTATAAATTGAAGGCCACAATTAGGTAAATAGCTTGGCTTCATTTGAATTCTTTCCTCTTAACCTACAATATAACTTTGGTAAATAGACCGACCCACTGTAGCAGTGAATGAGCATTTTGGGTCTTCATATCTTACCCATGTGTTTATCTTGCCAGGACTCTACTTTATTTATCTCTTGTGCAAGGAATTCTGCTTTCCCCCCTCCCCCTTCTTCCACTTGCTCTTCTATAGCTGGTTGAAATGACATGTTTTCTAGGGAAACTTCTTTGGCTTTCTAGCAGGCAGTTACCTTTCAACCATCACCACAAGAAGAAACCCACAAATGACCAAAAGCACCTCCATGTTTAGATTTCTTTAAGAATCTCACATGCAGGGGCGCCTGGGCGGCTCAGTTGGTTAAGCATCTGACTTCAGCTTAAGTCATGATCTCACAGTTCTTGAGTTTGAGCCCCACATCAAGCTCTATGTCAGCTCAGAGTCTGAAGCCTATTTCAGATTCTGTGTCTCCCTCCCTCTGGCCCTCCCCTGCTCTCACTCAAATTCTCTCTCTCTCTCTCTCTCTCTCTCTCATGCTCTCAAAAATAAACATTGAAAAAAAATTAAAAAGAAAGGAATCTGACATGCAAACAGGAGCTGAGAAACAGTATTTTGTCTTCTTATCTTCCCTCTTTTTCTTTGATCAACTCATTTAGAGCAGAGAATTTCTCTAATTTATCTTTTTATTTTTTATCTAGATTATAGTAAGATGGTTTTAAAGGACTCCCGATACCTCAATACATACAGAACACTTTGTCTTAATTGCTAATAAGTGATCAACTATTGTTTTCAACTCATTATTATTCCTGCATCATAATGGCCAAATCTATATCTATTTATTGTAAATATGTCAGAGGCTTCCTTTTCTGTGTGTGGGTCATGTACCTGATAAATAGGCTCAGAAAGAAAACCCCCAAAACTTATGAAGACTTCAAGGTCATTCAGCTAAGAAAAGTATATTAAACATAATACTAGCTACATAATGCAGTGTATAAATGTATACTTATAAATATATATGCATTTTCTTCATAATTAAGTAGAGACTAAAGGAAGTGATCTGTAGTAACATATGCACAGTAATTTTTTAAAAGTGTGTAGCCTGTGACCTCTCTTTCAAAAACCTGTGGTTTGTGCTACAATTGAGAGTGTGGTTTTTGAAGTTAGATAGATGGAGTTTTGAATCCTAGTTCCATCCCTTATTATCTGGTTGACTTTGAAGTTCAGGGAGGTTAAATTATTGCTTATTTTCCCAAGCTACAATGCAAAGATAATAATTTCCATCTCGCTTTCATTTGTGTGAGAATTGCATGAGAAAACACAAGCTCAAGGTGTGCTGTAAAGTAAGTAAGTGTGCAAAATTGGTTGTTGCAGTTTTTAAAATAATTTTTATTAATCTGTTTCCCACATTACCTTTGGACCTTTCCTCAAGTATTGATTTTATGCATTGGGTGTTTGGTTTCTGTTTGACTCCAGCCTCTCTGGTTAAAAGAAGCAGAGGCAGCTGCACTATTTTATTGTCAACTGTGAATTATTCCCTTCATTTCTCATGAAGGTGAATATCAGGATGAAGGTCAGCTACTATCTCCTTTCTCTCCCCATTACCACTGTTCTCTCTCAGCCTGGCTCTTCCCTCCCCTCCTTAGTTCTTTCATTTTTCTTCTTTTGCTACTGAGGAAATGCCAGCACTTGCACCTGCACGCCCTGAGGAATGCCAGCAAGGACTGGGGATTGCACTGTGCAGACAGTGAAAAATAAAATTCTAATTGAGAAATTTACCAATATTAAATTGAAATGAATGTGATGTTCAAGAACTGTCTGCCAGCTGACAGGCTGTCAAGACAAAACACACATATATATTTGCCCAAATGGCAGCCAAATTATTTTAGAAATATCTTACTTGGAAGCTAGAGACACAGCTCTTTTATATTCTACTGTGAATTTCAGAACTTGATAAGAATTCTCTTTTATAGCAGAACCACATAAAGAGTGGCATGTGAGCTTGTCTGATTTTAACTGTGAATCCCAAACTAGCATTGTTGAGGTGGGTTTTCAATGCAAATTTGCCTACACCTATTGAGTTCCAGGCAAAATAGATATTTTTAATGATGTGGTACATTGGGGTGAAGGGTATTTAACCTGACCATATGCCTACACCTGTGTTTGGATAAAGTAAACTTTTATTTGAGTTGAAAACAGAATCTCAGATTATTTGACTGCAAACCTGCCTTCTATTTGTGTAAATGACAAAATCTGTAGAAGCCTTACTTTATCTGTAGAGTGTGCACAGTGATCTCTACCTAAATAAATATGTTGGGAAAAATTTAATGATTGCATTTAAAATACTTGACAGAGCACAGAGTTAGTGACCAGCGTCTATTAGTTTCTTTACAGCCATCCATTCGTGAGTTACTTCTACTAATAAGATTCAGTAACCTATATCAGTGCCTTGGTCAATGAAAGACTTTGCAGCAAATCTTACCTTTGTATTTCAAAAAATGTATATGTTGAAATGAATCCTATTTCATTCAAAAGGGCATATTGGTGAACGCGGTGGTGAAGAAATGAGAAGCCAAATGATGCTTAAGCTGGTAGATGTTTCTGCATTATAGAGTACACAATGATATGATACATAACACTAGAGGCTTTCTTAGTTTTCTTTGAGATTCAGGGCTTCTCCAGTTATGATCAATGTATTTTGAAAAGTTGCTATTGCCAGAAGCTGTATTAAATGCTTTTAATATCTGCGACAACCATCCACCACCAGTACTGATATTAACTTCCTTATTTCTCATTATTTTTAATCAGAAAACTAGGGAAAATAATAGCTAATCCAAATCCAGATATTAAGTGGAGGAGCTGGGATTTAAATCCAGACATCTGGCTCTAGCTCTCTTGGGTTTAACCAGTATGCTGTACTCATCTTTGATAATATCTCTAGAGAATTTTGTTTATATGAGCACTATGCTTCAGCTGCATATTTATAATAGTTAATATTTTTCCAAGGTGGATGATCGCTTGAGGTCAAAATACTTTGCAAATTATTTTTTATTATTATTTTTATACTATGCAAATTAAATAAAAAACTAAGACAGGATTTAGAAAGGAAAAGTTTGGGTAGAGCTTTACACAATTTTCAACATAGGCACAGAAGCACTATACAAATGTAAGAACAATACATCACACACATATTCAGATAACAATAAAATTAATTAGGGGCCATGTGGTGAAGACTGGCCCTGAAGTGCTGTTGGTATAATAAAGATAAAGATTACAGACAGTAACTGAGTTTGACTCTGGATTTCCTGGTTGTGAATGGAAGAAGAGGATGTAGTCCACCAAAATATCAGAAGAAAGTTAAGAGATGGCTTAGTAAGATATATTTTATTTTATTTTTTAATGTTTATATTTTGAGAGAGAGAAAGAGAGTGTGCAAGTGGGGGAGGAAGGACAGAGGATCCAAAGCAGGCTCTGTGCTGACAGCAGTGAGCCCTTGCAAGGGTTGAACTGAACCGTGATCATGACATGAGCTGAAGTCAGATGCTCAACTGACTGAGCCACCCAGGTGCCTGAGTAAGATATATTTTCAAAAGGCAATTCTCACTGCTTTCCAAAGGTTTACAGCTGAAGCTGTTATGGAAGTCAGTACAGACACAATACACAAGAAAATTCATTCTCCTTCAACACTAACTGAGCCAAAGGAAAATGTTAAAAATTGAAAATAATTTCCATCATTTTCCTTCTATTTTCTCTTGCCATTAATATTAAGCCTTTTCTTTATAAATATGCCCTTTTATGATAAACATCCTCAAATCTTTTGCAGGAAGGCCCACATAAAATACATATTATTTATTTTGTATCTTTTGTTATCTTTGATTTGGAATACATTTAGTCTTAGAGAAAAGGGGTAAATGTAGTTCAAGTCTGTTTTTCTTGAACCATTTGAGAGTTAGTTGCTGACTTGATGCCCCACCACCATGGAAAACCTCAGTAAGTCCTTCCCACAAGCACAATGCAGCCATCACCATTAGGAAAT